AAGCAAAGCTAATACAACAGATAGTATCAACATCACTTAACTGAACAACATATACTCTGAACTCACCCTCCCTCCCTCCCTCCCTTCTGCTCAGGAAGTACTGTACAACAATAAAGGTTGCAGTGGAAAGATAGTAAAAGAACAAGTGATGGAAATTGTATTGGCCAGTAAAGTACACAGGGAGTGTACATTATTGGTTGTTTCTCAGGTAGCAGACAAAGGGCAGCCAGATGTGATCAAACTGTGACTGTCTGTTCTTCAGAGAGAACCTTATTTTGTCAAGGTGAAGGGTGTTGGTCATTTCATTGAGCCACAGCTTCTGAATGAATCCATATTAAACATTCCTGAATACATCTAGACCAGGGGGTCACCAACCTTTTGAAACTGAGAGCTACTTTATGGGTACTGAGTCATACGAAGGGCTACCAGTTTGATACACTCTTCTGAAATAACAAATTTGCTCAGTTTGCCTTTAGTTATATAACATCATTAATGATTAATGATACTCATCTATGTGAAGACACTGATCACGTTAATGATTTCTCACAATAATTATCAACAACGACTTAACAAGGTGGGAAACAGATAATATCAATATTCAACTCTTTATTTCTATTAATCTCAGCAATTGTTTAAATTTTCAGATGATCCCTTCAACAACATTTCATTAGCCACTAAACTTTAAACAAATCATGAACTATGTTGCACCATGTTTGAAAAGGTTATCAATTATGTAATGTTTAAGAACAATCAACTTCCAAAGTCCAGCATCCAAGTTGAACGTTGCACTTAGTTGTTCAGCCATGCATGTTATGTCCACGTTCAAGAAAGGATTGGAGATGAATGACACACATGGCTCAAGCTGATCAAGGTCACAGAACCTATTCTCAAACTCTTGCCCAAGCCTGTTTAGGACTTGACAGTACTTTTCTGCAACTTTGTCGAATGTCTCAGATGCAGAAGCATTGTCTTTCAGCACCGACAGCACAGAGGGAAAGTGCAGCACCTTTTTTCTCTGTGAATGCACAGAGAAAATGTTCATCTTGGCTTTAAATGCATTTAAAGCACTTATCATATCAACAACAGTCTTACCTTTACCTTGCAGCTCGCAGTTCAAGTGGTTTAGTTTCCCAGTAATGTCCATTAAAAATGCAAGGTCAAGTGTCCCCTCTGTGTCCTCTAGCAGCGAGACGTCTTCGCATTTGGACTGCATGAACTCTTTGATTTCACCCAAAAGGGCAACAAACGAAGTAAAACTCGTCCTCTGCTGAGCCATCGGATTCCTGTGTGTAGCAGCAGGTCACCATATTCAGCTGACATCTCCTCCAACAGATCCCGGTCCAGCTGAACGACCAAGTTACCGGACATAGCCGACACTCGTCTATCCATCGTAGATGCCCCCAGTTGGACATCGGAGAGAGTGGAGATTCAATCAGTTCCATCTTTCTCAGTGTTAGCAATTATCATCATTGCTTCTTTGACAACTTCTCCGTCTGAAAATGCCTTCTTCTTCTTCTTTATCAGAAAATGTGTAGCTCTAAACGAGGCTTCGGTTGCTTTTTGGGAGTCTTTCGCCGGCCTCGTGAAAAAGACTGCTGCTTACCCAAAGCTGCCTTTAGCTCCCAGGCTTATTCTACCCGTAGCGCACTGCACGCTGGGTAGTTGGCGTGGTAGCTCTTGTGACACGTAATGAAGTGTCTCTCCACATTGTTCCACTTTGCCGTCGCCACAGTCGCCTCGCAAATGAGACACACGCAGGTTTCTTTCGCAGTAGTAAAAAAGAACTCTCCCTCCCATTCACTGTGAAAATGATACGTTTTCTTTCTTTTTCTGCCATGTTTTTGGGGTAAGAAACCGCGTTCAGCTCCCGATCTTCGCTGCGCCTGCGAATGCTGAAATTTTGTCATGGCCTCAAAACTTTGACCTTTCCAACTTCAACACTGGTGAGTTGTGCTATTTTTAGAACAGGCCTGCGGGCGACTCAAGTGGTCCTTGGGGGCGACCTGTGTTGGTGACCCCTGATATAGACAGACAGAAACAGAGCAACACCTACTAAATCTTTACAGAGGATTTGAGTCTGAGATGAGTATCAGCAGAATGTACTTAAAGAAGCAAAAGTATAATAAAAAAGTATTATATTTTATATGTTGATCATGTGTTTGTATGTTAGATCAAATTAAATAACTACATCAGTCTGATAAATGTAAAGAGTTCAATATTTCCCTCTGAAATGATGTGAAGTAGAAGTATAAAGTAGTATAAAGTGAAAATACTCGAGTAAAGTACAAGTAGCTCAAACTTGTAGTGAAGCCCAGTCCTTGAGTCCTCGTCCCCGTCTGTCTCTAAATGTTTGTTAATCTGAGTTATAGTCAGTGAGTCAAACCTGTCGCCAAAACCTGAATTTGAGATCTGAGCAGCACGACAATGTTGAGCAGAAATTTCTCACTGATCCAATTTCTGAAACGAGGTGTGTTTGATTTTAAAAAGCCTGTGTTTCATATTTCAGAAGAGTTTTTATATTAGTTGAGTGCAATAAAAAGTACTGTATGAATCTCAGGGAAAGGTTTGGACAGGCCTCATGTTTGTCTCATTATTGTTGGAACAGTTCACCTCTCGTCTCATTCGGGGCTGATTTGGTCAATGTGAAATATTTGATCAGAATTGAATTAGTATGGATTGTAGAGTGATTGATCAATTCAAATGATAAAAGATAACAAAGCTGTAGTTTTAAAGATCAAATAATGAGAATGCTCTCCTTCCTTTGGAGACAATCTGCTGTGTTCACACTGCAGGTAAAAGTGGCTCAATCAGATAGTTTTGCTCATATGTGACTCAATCACATGAATGTGATCTTTTAAACTCTGATTTGGGACAGCTACGTTCACACTGCAAGCCTTAGTGCTCAATTCTGATTCATTGCTCACATCACATTCTTTGTTTTGTTTGGCTGTTCACATTATGTTTAAGATGTGGCCCATATCAGATTCCAGTGTGAACAGGTCCCGGTCCTGAAGTGAACCGCGTGACCAACGTGGATCTAGAGTGACGTAAAAGTCACATGAATTTGAATATGACTGTTGTATGAAAGTGGCCCAAATCAGAATGTAAAAGATCAGATTCAGTGTGATTTGTGCTGTTCACACTGTTCTAAAACAATCAGATCTGAGTCCCATTAATGATCCAATCAATCAGATTTGGGCCACTTGTGTCTGCAGTGTGAACCAGGGTTGGAGTTCGGTGGGAGCCAGTGGGAGTGGAGCTCCCATAAGAAGGGGTCTGAGCTCCCATGAAAGCAGTAAAACCATCCATCTGTGGGGGGGGGTCACTAATACATTACCAACAAGCATTATTTGAATGCATTTTTCAATGTAATGAGGATTCTATCTCTCTGTACTGACTGCTTGCTTTCTATTGGATTTACCACTGGCACAACCCGATGCATCCTCCCACTAGTGGAGTGCTACATAGGATAGGGTACTGTGCACCCGCGCTCAGCACTGTGTAAATATTAACACCTCCTTTCATATGATAACAAAAAGGGTGGAAATGTGTTCTCCCTTTGAGTGACGGCTCTCTGTTGGCACATTTCAGTCTGTTCATACTTTGTTGCAACATCGTAGGAAAGTTTCAGGTTGTTGGAATCTACTTGATACAATTGTTGTAAGTTGTGTGTGTGTGTGTGTGTGTGTGTGTGTGTGTGTGTGTGTGTGTGTGTGTGTGTGTTCCACATTCATCATGCTGCTCACTTCAGGACCGGGACCTGTTCACACTGGAATCTGATATTCAAACAATAACGTGAGCAGCCAAACAAAAGAATCCGATGTGAGCAATAAATCAGAATTGAGCTCTAAGTGTTGCAGTGTGAACGTACTCCAGTGAAATCTTTCATCAGCTGCTGTTGGCTACAAAAGAACAATTGAAACCAATTGAATGATGAGTTTTCTGTTCTGGCAGCATGAGACTGTTGATCAAATCCACTCAGTGGCCCATTTATTAGCTCCACCTGTACAATCTATTAAGTAGATTAGATTCAACTTTCACATCACATTGTCATTGCACAGAGTACAAGTACTGAGACAACACAATGCAGCTGAGCTTCTAAGCAGAAGTACAAACAGCAGTTGAGTGCAGAGTGTGTCCATATGTACAGGGCTAATAAATAGAATAAACAGTAAGGGCTAGATATGAATCCACTGAGATATATACAGTATGAACATGTGCAGCAGTACAGTAGGCACAATATATAGTGCTGTATAAGTGGAAGACATTATATCCACAATAAACAGCTCTGATATGAATATGGTGGATACACTATAGATGATATATACAGTATGGACTGTAGTATAAATATGTAGATATTATAATTCAATACAACAGCTCTGCCATAAATTCCACCTTTCCAAAGTTTGTAATGTTCACTTTTTGTTGACTTTGTGAGAAATGTGTAAATGAAACTATATGTTTGTTACTGAGCTCATATTAAAGGTGCTGTTGTACTGGACTACACTATACTGAGAGCTGTTTCTATTTTATTGTCCTCCCTGTTTACACACATGAGAGAGACAGAATATTAGAATCCCCTCTGAATATAATGCAGTCCAGTACAACAGCACCACTAACTATGAGCTCAGTGATAACACATATGATTGAATGAACAGCTCTCTGACAGTGTAGAAACAAAGTGAACATTATAGACATCAATAAAGGAACTTAATGACACAACAGTTGTATTGATTGCATTAGATTGTACAGGTGTACCTAATAAAGTGACCACTGAGTGTTTGTGTCACTGACACAATGAAACACATTTTATATTAATGTAGTGTGATAGAACATATTGTCGACCTATCAGACAACAGATTTAATGTGATATCATTTCAAGATAATCTTCACTGTATTTGTTCTATCAGAAATAGTGTTTGCAGTTCACAAACGTTTGGTGGTAAGTTAGAAATGTTTACAACTTTAATATGATCTTATAGTTTCTGTTATGTTCACAGGTGCAGCTCCAGAGCCTTCTGTCAAAGTAGTTAAAACAAAGGACGGGGAGCTGCTGCAGTGTGTTGTTCGAGGTGTTTCTCCACAACCTAAAGTAGACTGGAAGGACAGTGCTGGAAAGATCCTTCCTGCTAAAGAACCACAGGTCACAGAAAGAGGAGGAAGCTACGACGTCATCCTACAAGCTCCTTTGACCAAGACCGACACCTTCACCTGTGTAGTTACACAGAACGACATCAACCATCAGATTTCTGCTGAGACATATGCTGGGCCTCTTAATGGTGAGATAGATGAAGCAAGTAAATGAAGCAACAAGCTACCAATCAATAACTCTGCTCTGGATTTCTCTCAGCACAGGAAACACACTGAAAGCTTTATCACTGAATCTACAACACAAACATTTGAATCTTCACATTTGTGGACAGCACTCAGTGGTGGAAGAAGTAATCAGATTATTTACTTTAAGGAAAAGTAGCAAAACTACAAAGTAAAAATACTCTGTTACAAGTAAAAGTCCTGCTTTCACAATTCCACCATCAGTTCAATATAAAGCAGCAAAACTATTATAAAAGTATTATATTGTGTACATTGATCACATGTTTTATATGTGAAATCAAAGTAAGTAGCTCTATCTGTCAAATGTAGTGCAGTAAAAAGTGGAATATTTCCCTCTGAAATGTTGTGAAGTTGAAGTATAAAGCAGCATCAAATGGAAATACTCAGTAAAGTAGCTCAGAATTGTACTTTTACTGCTCAGTGAAGCAGAAAGCGAGCTAAGCTGCACATTCAGCTGAATGGGTGATATTTGATTTGAACAAAGCTCATCAATACGAGCTGTAACAACAACCATGATCAAATAAAGATGTGTTTATAAGACGTAATCCAGAGTCCATCACAGCCTGGGCTCAGGGTGTAGAGAACTGGGCTGTACACACATTGTCACACACATTTGCAGATCTCAGGCACAGCAGCAGTTTAACACAAGTCCCATGGAAACAGTGTGAAGTAGAGGAGGCAGGACAGTGATTCAAACAGTCTTCTACTGATGAGCAGCACGTCTCAGAAACAGGACGATGCTACAACATCACCCTCCTCACTACTGTGAGCAGAACCACAACCAAGCTCTCAGCTGTGGACATTTCAGGAGCATACACACCTTTAGTTGTTGTCTGTGTGGCTGATGTCCAATCTGCTGTGTGTGATATACACTTACATTCTGAGGGTCACATTCACTCTCTCTCATCTGTTTCAGAGGCCCAACCCCCGACTGCAGACTCCACTGGATTGATTGCTGCTATTGTAGCTGCAGTTTTCATCATTGTTTTATTGTTGGTGGTGCTTGGTGCTGTTGTGTATTATTACAAGCATAAAAACACACAAAATCCTACCACAGGTTAGTGTAAATAAAACATTCTTTATGTGTATCTCATGTTTAGAGTCTTTACAGTTGTTTTATCTTCTCAGACATTAATCATTCTGTTGCTATTTACACTCAGATTAAGATCAAGTCATTTTTGATTTTCTTCAATATAACGTTATTTTGCTTCCTGCAGGTGTGGCGAATGGAAGCACTCTCACAGAAGAGCCCAATTCATCGACACCATTCAGGGAATCTTGCTGATCCAGAATCGTAACTATCTCTCCATGTGCTGTGCAGTTGTCTGCTCCAGTGTGTGTGTGCTGTAGCAGTTAAACTTTGTGAGAATCACTTTGAGTTTTAGACCATACTGTATGATAGTGAGGACATTTTGGCTGCTCCTCACTTTAATGGTTAAGACCTGGTTTTAAGGTTAAAGTAACATTAGTTTCAGGTTAAGGTTGGGGTTAGTCCTGTGGTTAGTTGTGATGGTAGCCAGGTGAAATGAAGGTTGTTTGGGTGGTGAATGTGTGTGTAGACAGGGATTTGTGTCCCATTACCACGACCACAATCTTTCCCTGATCTTAACCAAGTGTTTTATATCCTGTCCTCATAATGAGTTCTCCTTCTCAACATCACTGACAGTCAAATAACAGCATGCCTTATTGGTTCATTGAACATGGACCATTCACTTTAATATGCATTATTATCAGACCTACACAATAAAAGCTGCTTCATATGAAAGTACAGTGATAGTGATGAGACAGCGGTCGGTTCCATAGAGACAGATTGGAGTTAACAAGGTGACAACAGAAGAGAACGAGTGGCCTTTAATGCAGACAGAGCTGATTATTAATGAATCATTCTGTTAATGAGAATTGAATGAATAGTTTGTGTTGATATTGATATTTTGATATTTGCTGTGATTGAGTTCCACTCTTGTGCAGCTTTAAGAGAACAAATATTGACTAAACACACTTTTACTCTGTTATTAATGTGGTTGAGGACAAAGACGACTTCTTGCACTCTGTTCTGTTGCTTTTATTCTTTTCTTTTTTAGATGAATTTCATTCCAGGCAGCATAATGTAAAGTCCTAATCAAACTGCCCACTGGACTCTTGTTGAGGACATTATACTGTAGCACCTCGATGAATAAGACGGAGCTACACAGAAACAAACTAATGTGATAAATAATGAGACAGCAAAGCAGGATAATAGAACAAGTAATGACATCAAATAAAGTAACACACAGCAGAATTCAAATGGACCAAGTTAAAAAGGGACCTGATTAAAGTCAACTTCTGATAAAAGAGAATTTGATATCAGTGTTTAAAGCTAAGGGGCTCAGACCAAAAACGCCTCCTGATGGTCAGAGCAGCACCTTGCATGGTAGCTCTCTGCCATCAGTGAGTGAGTGAGTGTGAATGGATGAATGAGGGGCAGAAGTGCAGTATAAACACTGTCTATTTACCAATATTATCAGACTGCTTGTAGTTGTTAAAGGTCCTAACTGAGCTACACATGGCCATTAAAAGCCTTCACTGAACTAAAGCTGCTCTTACTGGAAATGAATGGGAATGTTTTGCAGCTAAAGTGAAATATAATGTGACTTTGTGTTTTATTGACATATTTGTGTTATTGACATTATTTGGGACAACCCTGTATTGTTTGTTTATTTGTTAAGGTGAGTCAGAGTGTGTCAGGTACAGTTCCACACTGAACTCCACACTCAGTGTCCAGTTTATTAGGTCCACCTAGCTAAAGCTAATGCAGGCTAATACAACAGTGCTGCATAATAAAGTGTTGCTGACTGATGTTTGAATTGTCTCAAAGTTCATGTATGTTTCTGTTGTTTGCTGATGATGCATTTGGAAGCTATCATGTAATCTCAGGCCGTGCTTCATCATTTCTATACAAACGTTTCAATAAAAGCTGAAAAATGTCAAACTGTGTGTTGGGACTGTTTTTGATGTTTCTGTGTGTTCAGACTGTTTTAGGTAGAATCTAACACAACACATCATGGATTGTATAAGTGATTTGTGGATTAGTGTTTCTCACACTCTTTACAGCAATACCATGCTCTCCCAGCTCCACTATTATGACTGACGTTAAAATACAGTAGTGTAGGCCGAACCTATTCAGCTATAGACAGTTCATGCAGGAGGCAGGTTTATTACTCATAAGAAAATTATTTATTGTTGACTGTTGTTAATCCTGAATGTAACTACTTCTACAGTAGCCCAGAAAGGACAAACCAAACACTGGCTGCAGGGACCAAGCCCCCAGGAAGAGTGTTGGTTGGTGCTGTGTAAGGTGATGAGACTTGGCAGCCGGCGGTACCCACCCATTATATCAGACCTCAAACAACTTCTTTGGAAATGTAAACCATACAAGTATTTTTTTCCTTCCTTTCTTTTGATTGGGCGTCATTACGACTGCAGGTGTGTGTCTGTGTGGGTGGATTTGGGATTTCTGAACTGAGACAGAAATAACTTTTTTTTTCTTCAACAAGATAGACATGTTGAAGAGCTAGAGCCCCATGAAGGAGTCATTCTCTCTCTCTTTCTACCTTGACTAATACAACTAACTAATACAGGTAACAAGGCCTAAAATATATATAAAGGCCAGACTTGGCAGCTGGTGGTAGCGACTGACTCTATGACTCAGACCTCAGACAACTTCTTTGGAAATGTAAACAGTAAAAGTACTTTTATGCTGTCCTTCCTTCCTTTCTTTGATTTGGCATCATTACAGCTGCAGGTATGGGTGGGAGAGTGTGGGATTTCTGAACTCTGTTCTCTTCAACAAGATAGACTTTATCCAGATGTTGAACAATAATGTAATCAAATATCAGCACTAGAAAAGACAAATATATAACTTATCAAAATAAAATGAACAGAACAAATAAAAAAATAATAATTAAAATAGTTCAGTGCTTAGTATCAGAAACCCCTTACTTATTGATAGTTGAAACACAACTGATTTAATAACTTTGGCTGTTGATATTTCTGATGAAATACTGTGGTGAGACTTTAACAATCAACCTTTCTCTGCTCATCAGCGTTCCTCCAGAATAAAAGCAAAGCTTTTCTTTGAAAAGTATCAATTTCATCATTTCCTTTCTGAGAAACTGCACTTAAAAGGTTTCGTTTCGTGGTCTGTCAGAAACTCTAGTGTTTCCTGTGTTACTTCCTGTTTTATTTTGTAGCATCCAGCATGCTGCTCCCCCTACATCATCAGCCTCCAGGGCCTCGTCCTCAACTGCTCTGCTCTTCACCTTGACCCCAGGTTGTCCCCCTGAGGTCTTCTCCCCCGTTCAGCTCCCCTGCCACTTGCATCTGATCTGCCTGTTTACCGTTTGTTACCTTGGTTTGTGGCTTACTGCCTGTTGTTTCACCAGGCTGCCTCTGTCTGTGCCAATTTGGATGTATTTGATGTTCTTCCTGGATCTCTGTGTACCATAACCTTTTCCTGGGAAGTAAAGATTGATTCTGAATACCTGTGTCCTGCCTCTGCCTGTTTTGCATTCAGGTCCTATTTTCTGTGGAATCTTAAAGACTTAACAATGCCTTCTTTTAAATCACGTTTTAAAAGCCATTTTATAGACTTTCCTTTATGTGATGTCATCTTTTCACTTACTTTTATCTATTTTATTTCTTTATTTCTTTTATTCTGCTCTCATTTTTGTATTTTTTTCATATTTATTTACATTTTGTGTATCACAGCTATCAC